GGCAAAGCTGCGCCCTCTCTGCCTCCAGCTCTCACATCTGACATGTGTCTCACCGGTTGACATGGCTGTCTCGTCTGCTGTGGGCGCGCGGATGTGGGGAGCGGGTGGTCGGAGTCATGTGACAGACAACCTGAAGGCGATCGGGCATCATCGGGTCTGTTGGGTGTGTTTGGTGGGCGTGTGTCACGCGCCTAAGGGCCAAAACACGTCTAGGAGATCCGAAAATATAAGCAAAATTTGCATGCAGCAAAGGCAGAGAGGACATACATCACTGGCGCAGCACTGTTTTTTAATGCGAGATGCGCGCGGCCAAATGGGCTAGATGAAGGCGGCTATTCTGTTGTCAGTCTTTAGGCCAGCCAACAGCCTTCAAAAACATACCTGCCAGGTGTAGCGATGACGCAGCATACATGATAAGTTCTTGACAGTCTTCGCGCTGAGGAGGTCAAGCCTGATTTCGTGAGAGGGCGAGGCTTGGTTCTGCAGCCCCACTTGTGTGATGTAGTATGGTTAGCTTTCTGAGAAATTCTCTGCAGATGCAAATACGCCGACTTTACCTACATCAGGTGTTTGCATCGTCCTTATCATTTTAATCCATCGACTGACTGTGCCTCGGGGAGTTAGGAGTGCTTATACGCCAACCTCGGTTACTTCACTTATCAGTTCACACCCGTAGTTTGAGCCATGCTTGCGCTTACTTCATTATCCTAATCCAGTGAGTGGTCACGAAGACTTGCTAATGGAAGAGGAGGCGTTCACCGGGAGAGGTGTATTTGAGGTCTGACGTTTCGGGTAGTCGTTTCTTCTACCCATATTCAGAGACTGAGCAGTCGTGCACACAGCTTTCGTTTTATGGCGCACTTTGTTCAATGCCTGGCCCATCAATGCCGCCTGTGTGGCTGCATCCGACCCGCATGTCACCGTGACCTGAATCCCGCCCATCTTCGTCGGCCGCGGTGATAACTGGCGGCCCCGATTGTCCTGCGCCGTGACTGTCCCCCGTCAAGAATGTCCGTAAAACCAGATAAGGGGGAGGTAAATTGATGTGGCGGTTGACAGAACAGTCTGTAGACATCCAGACTTCTTGCACCTGCCTTGCCGTATCATCATCACCTTGGCCCACAATTTCAACGGCGTTAAA